AGAATAAAAAAATCATTGAAACATAACATAGCGTAGGCAATTAATACCATTAGTCTTTTAATGTTTCTGCCAGTTGACCAACGGTACAAAACCTGCCATTCATTTATTGCCTTGTGCTACCCTGCTACAGTTCCTGGAATGGTAAAGATTTCCTTATTCTGTCAAAAACAGGGGGGGGGGGCAATTAGTGTCCCCCTCCAACTTTTTTTAGCAAACACTGAGTATATAGTAACCACCTCCTTTATTATTTCAAATCAGCAGGCTCTCAATAATTAAAGTGAGCTAATAACTTATGTTCCATAAGCACTTGTTCAAGTTTGAGGCATGTATTAACTAGTCCACAGATTTAAATGACTGCCTCAAGAGTTGCTGGGAGCAGCCACGTGCCTTTTTTTGGGGGGGGGGGAGGGGGAATTCCTTACAGTAGTATCAACTGGTCCTCAAGAGAAAGAAAGGAGTAGGAAGTTCTATGTTTGAAATAATTATTTTAGTTTACACTCATTTCTGTCTATGTGGCTGTTTTAAGCCTTGTTAATGAAAAGGGCTTGCAGAAATAGTAGGTAAGAAAATAATTTGGGTGATTCTAATATTCAATAAAAAAGAAGTTGATTGCAATCATTGTAATTGATATCACTCCAAATTAAAGATATTCAAAATAGCATAGTAAATGAAAAGTCCAAACTTCCAATCCTAATTACTGAAAGAGTGATTCACTTCATCTTCCAAAGGATTTTACTCACACAACTTGTCATTGTATTGATTAAAACAAAATTTACTGAATTAATGAAACTTTCTTTCAGATAAGTATGTGTAAGACTGAAACATCTAACCTACATTATAGGATAGATTCATATTAGTATATTTTTCTTTGAAATTAATAGGTGTTAATGAGATGAACCTGCCTTAATTTCATGAAGAACTAGAATCCCAAAATCATTTCTAAAGCTACATCTTAATTTTTTTTTCTTTATAATTTTTATGAATAATTTTTCATCCCTCAAGGATATAATTTTATTTCACCAAGTTAAAAGGAGGGCCTTTTAAAAGTAAAATATGATTTAGTATAGAAAAGATTTTATTTTAACCACTTGATTAAAATGATTTCAGCAGCAGGAAATGATAATCCTACAATGAAATGTGTCATTATATTCAAAACAGAGCAACTTCTTTGTGTCTGATTTATAGTTCTATTATGACAAACCTCATGAATTCACTTTTTTTCTTTTGATTGTGTTTTTATATAAATATAAATTATCATATTTTTCCTCCTTCATAAAGACAATGTCTTTCAATGCCGATACTAATTATAGATTTATGGCAGCCGTTACCTTTTTCTCCTATAATGTTTTTGAAAAGAAGAATATTCTAAGTATTCCTAAGGGACTATATGAACATGCTTTATAAATATTTTGTATTACAAGAATTAGAGTTGCTTCAATTCAGAGGACTGTATTAATACCAGCTGAATTGGACTGATTTGTTTATTTCTTGAAATGCCTTTTACATCAAGGGACAGGACAGTTTGTATATATTTAGATTTCATTTATGTAAACATAATAGAATGGAAAACTGGGCAGAAAGCCACCCTCAGTTTGTTTCTCTCATTTCTGGAGGAACTCCTAGATTTTAATTGCCTGTGAAACATTAATTTTTATCTGTTTAAATGTTGATATTCTTTCCTGCATCTTTATCTTGTATTCCATTAGTTTTATTTTTCTACTGTTCTTTTATTATTTCGTGCATGTTAATTTTTTAAAATAATCTTGTTATCTACCCAGAGATCTCTCATTATTGGACAGATTGAAAAATTATAGTTGAGATTTTCTCAAGCTGGCAGAGACATACAAAGACTATGCTTGTTTTTTTCTCCCACTAGGAGTTACTTTATTATACAAAATTAAAATGTCTCCAATTGTCTTGCTCCTTACATTTAATCTTTATATTTGTGTCCATTTCTTATTTATTTTCTTGCTTGCCAAACAAGCTAACAATAAACAATCCAACCAAATAACCACCAACACTGACGAGGGCAAGCTATTAGAATACACAACGAGAAGAACCCTACTAGCAATGATGGATGTTACCTAGGTTGGGTAATGAAAGGTCTGCAAGAAAACAACCAAGCTCAGAGACCATGAAGGGTCCCTCAGAAATAAAAGACCAGATTTTGCTATAGATTACAACAGGGACTAACTAATTTTCTCCAAAACAATTTAAGTGATTCTCCAAACATCAGAAATTTGAATGCCTGAAAACTTCAGGTAATTGGGGGAGGGAGATGTCATAATTGACGTTTGATGTTGAGATTAGCAGGATTTGTTTACTTCCTCACTTGACAGAATTGAAGCCGAAAAGTATTAAATTTAAAGCCAGCATGACACTTTACTGTCTGAATCTGAAGTTACTTTTAAAAAGTTTCTGCTGCAGTTCAGCAAGAGGGAGATTTAATTTGGGGTGAAAAAAACAAAAAGATTCTATCTATTTTTATTTATTTATTTATTTGATTTGTCAATCACTTACAAGATAATAAGTATAAGGATAAACATAGTTATGAATACATGAAATGAATACATATAAGAAAAATAAAAGAAACAATAGGACAGGGACGGTAGGCACGTTGGTGCACTTATGCACGCCCCCTACAGACCTCTTAGGAAAGGGGTGAGGTCAACAGTAGAAAGTCTAAGGTTAAAGTTTTTGCGGTTTGGGGAAGAAACCACAGAGTCAGGTAGAGTATTCCAGACATTGACCACTCTGTTGCTGAAGTCGTATTTCCTGCAATCAAGTTTGGTGCGATTAACCTTGAATTTGTATCTATTGTGTGCTCTTGTATTGTTATGATTGAAACTGAAGTATTCATTGACTGGTAGGACATTGCAATGTATGATTTTATATACTATACTTAGATTGGACTGAAAGCAGCATAGTTCTAGGTTTTCTAGGTCTAGAATTTCAAGTCTGGTAGCATAAGGTATTCTGCAACGAGTAGAGGAGTGTAGAAATCTTCTTGTGAAATATTTCTGGACTTTCTCAACTGTGTTAATATCAGATATGTGATGTGGGTTCCAGACTGATGGAACTGTATTCGAGTATTGGTCTAGCAGATGTTTTGTATGTTCTAGTGTGATATTACCAGAGAAAAAGCTATGTAGGATTAGGTTAACAACTCTTAATGCCTTTTTGACTATGTAGTTACAGTGGGCTCTAGCACTTAGATCATTAGAGATGAGTATTCCAAGGTCCTTGGCGGAGTTTGGATGATCATTGGATCATCACTGCAGCCTTCTTATTTGCCCAAGATAAGGGTTTTTAATGTCTCCCCCATGTGGCCGGGAGAATAAAATAACGGGGCAAAAATATTAGGCTGCAAAAGTAGCATTATAATTAATAAGTGAGATTATTGTCAATGGAATGATTGGCAATGCAGGATAGATACACATTTTAAAACTATGAGAACAGTTGCACACAAAAGGATGAAAAACTGGCACCATGGGTTTTTATTTACACAAAGAGACCAGGATATATTTCTTGTGTTATGTTACACTTTAAAAATCTTGTGGCATTTTAAAGACTGACAGATTTATTGCACTCATAAACTTTTTTGTAGACTAGAGTTCTCTTCATGCATATAAATCAATTACAAGATATGTTAACTTCTCTAGATAATCTCTTTCATACACATACTTGAGCACTGACAAAAGTAGAGAAAGATTATGAACTATTTGGCAAAAATGACAAGAAATGTTACCTTGAAAGCTTCTGAACAACATTTTAGCCTCGTAGGACTCCTGTGAGGCAGTTTTAAAATGCAGTACGGAGTAATGCTCAAGGCTTCCTATAGTGTCACTGATGAACACAGATTTCAATTTCACATATATCCAGTATTCTAGCTACCCCACAGGTATTACTTAATACATACAGAGAAAACCCTAGGAAGCCTAAAACTAAAATAAGCCACGTTTTCCATTCTGATTTACGGTATTTTGATGTCATTATGTATTAGCCTTATTAATCAAAAAGTTACACTGTCTCTTGAAATAGGTAGTCCCACTATGACTACATAAGAAAGAAAGCAATGTGCTATAATTTCCTTTTTAAACAACAAATAAAAAACCCTGCTCGGTTAGTCAGGCTGGCTATAAAGCAAATATGAATCACAACAGAGCTCAGCTCTAGGTGAGATATTTGTCTTCATAAATATGTATCTCTTTAGGTTTATTTGTGCCTCACTTAAGCTTGAAATATTGGAAGGATTTTCTGAAGAAGAAGAAATGTTTAGAAATTGTGCTTAGATTCTTCATCACTGCAAGCTTTCCAATATCTGTTTCAGTTTCCAATAGCAAATTGAACTTAGCTCAGGGAACCTTCTCAGAAAGACACTCAAACCATGTTTCATTTGCAGCTGTAATTAAAATTTGCACCTGAAGAATATAGAGAATCATCATTAGTGATGGAACATTCAAAACTTCAGGAAGCAAGCTGTTCCACTGATTGTTTTCACTGTCAGGAACTCAATATGGCGCACAAACTGTAGAATCAATGAATAGCACAAAAGGATAATACAGGTAAGAGATTATGCCATAAAGTAGTTATAAAAATGTTTTGACTTCAGATGTGGGGTCGATACTATTTGCTAAAATCCTTTAGCAGGTAAGCCTTTAAAAAAAAATGTGGTAGGCTTCTTCTTTATTTTTGCTATGTGCACCAATTTGGTATAGTGCTTAAGGCACCAGGCTAGTAAACAAGACACCACGAATTCAAGTTCTGTCTTAGCCATGAAAGCCAACTGGATAGCCTTGGGCCAGTCACTCTCTCACAGTCCTAACCACCTCATAGGGTTGTTGTGGGGAAAAGAGGAAGAGTAGGATGTGCTGGATATGTTCGCTGCCTTGAGTTATTTGTAAAAACAATAAAGGCAGGATACAAATAAATAAAAACTTTTCTTTACTATACAAAAAAGGAACAAGAAAAACACATATTGTGTGGAAGAATTCATTCAGCTAAGTTTTTAAATAAGCCATTAAATCTTGACCAGATAAAATTATATTAATCAGTCTTTCCATTATATATATAACAAGCCATCTCAAAAACAACTCATATTTATCATCCAAAAGCTAAATCTAGAATGGTTCTACCTTTCCAACATTGAATAATAATCATTTTTGTGCCACTTCTCACAACCAATACTTCTACATTACAAATTCCTGAAATGTACACATACATAAATACACACATATACATATCTACAGTACATATTTTGCATTCCCAGTTTTAAATTGTATTGATTGTATAAACATTCTAACAACAAAATGATGGCTATCAGTTCAAAATAGGGCACTACCTGTAGAAGAAGCTCATAGGTAAATGTATCTGATTCAATTTTTTTAACTTTGGCCCTAAAGAAATTAATTACTAGAGCCTATAAATAAATTTTGGGATTGTCAGTATATGTGAGAAAAAATATTTTGTTGAATTAATTTCATTTTAATATAATATGAAACATAATATGCTTTAGGATAGTATAAGAAAAATATCTTTATTAAAATGATATTTCAGTTCTTTATTCCAGAGATCTTACTAATAAATGGTATCAACCCTAATAATACAGCTTCATAGCAGTTTATAAAAAATACCATAGACTCAGAATCATCTAAAGCACACTGCAATACAAAGAGTAATTCAGGAATTGTCAATGATGTCGAACATCTTGATTAATTTGCATTTTAGTTGAATATAGTTATTTTGCAATTTCCAAATCTAGTTTTATTATAACCTGAATAATTTAAAACATTGCTTGCAAAAATCTAATCTAAAATATTAATAGCTCTAACTGACAACAACAATTTAAAAAGATTATCCCAAAGTATAAGTTTGCCATATGTCTTGCATTCTGTAATGTACAAAATAGAAACATAAAATATAAGCTTGCTATGCTTAAAAATATAGCCAAGCATTTTCCATAATGACAAGGAAGTCACATAACACCTTTTGAATTTTGTCATAAAATTGCAGACATGAAAATCTAATAACAAAAAACCCGCTATTGTTTTATATTAATACATTTATCTAGGAAACAAACCCCTGATATTTTACTTTGTTATATTGTTTCCATCTTGAATATAAGATATATTAAGTAGTATATTCAGTGAAGTAAAATATATACTTGGAATGGAAATGGAAACATTTGAGATTCAATGAGATATGCTTAGAGGTCTGGATCAGAGGTTGCCAACTAGTGGTCCATGGACTATTGGTGGTCTGTGAAAAAAATTTGGTGGTCCACAGCGCACCCATATCTGCAACAGGGATGATACCAGCAGCTAATGGATTGATGCGCGCTGGGAGGGAGGATAGCGTGGGGGAGATGGCAGGATCAGAGCCCTGCCTGCCCTGCGAGAGGGTGGGGGTAGGGAAAAAGAACCTCTGAACTGGTGCTGGGTGGTGAGAAACTGATGTCCTGAGGCCAATGAGTCACGTGCTGAAAACCAGATGGCTGGCGGGGAGATAGGGCAACAGGGGTGATACAGGTGGCAGATGGACTGATGCATGCAGATTGCAGCATTGGACCCCTTACCAGGTGTTCCCTGGCCTGCGAGGGGTGGGGGTGGAGGAAAGGAACCTCTGAACTAGTGTTGCCTCCTGCCATCTGCCTCCATGCATTGAGGAGACCGAGCGGCTGCCAGCGATGCCCTCAGGTGAAGATGTTGTGAGGGGGAGGCTCAACCCCTCCCCTCAGGAACTGCAAAGCATTCGCCACCCCTCTGGTACCCACCAAGCCTCCTCCCACCGTGCTTCTCTTTCTCCTTACCAGAAGAGCTCACATGCCCAGCGGGAAGGAGGCTTGGCAGGTGCCTGAGGGGTGGCAAGCACTTTGCGTTCCTGAGGGGAGAGGTTGAGCCTCCTCCTCACAACATCTTCACCTGAGGGCATCGCTGGCAGCCACTCGGCCTCCTTGATGTGTAGAGGCAGGTGGCAGGAAGCAGCACCAGTTCAGAGTGAATTTCCCAATAGCCAGGGAAGACTTAATTGGACCGTGGTTCCTTTCCCCCCACCCCCACCCTTGGGGACAGAGGGGGGGAAGAAAGAGGGGGGGAAGAGAGAGAGGGAGAGGGAGGGAGAAAGGCGGAAAGAGAGAGAGATGAGAGAGAGAGAAAAAGAGAGATGAGAGATCTCATTTTGTTTTCTGTGGGAAATGGATCCAAATGACTCTGAGTATTTAAGGTTGCAGAAACAGGCAGAAAAGCTAAGTGCCTGAAGGACCCCATCCCATCAATGGGAGTCCAGATGCTTCAGCAAGCGGCATGCTGGATTCATATTAGTGGTCTGTGGGATTTAAAATTATGAATTTGGTGGTCCCTGAAGTCCAAACGGTTGGAAACCCCTGATCTGGATAGACTGAGAAGCATGAGCATCCAGGAAGCAGGGCAAGTGACATGACATGCATCCCAATAGCATCTATATTTGATGCAAACTATATTATTCAAGTCATAATTGTGATGACATTACAAAATGTCATCATGGTTTATAACATTTGTCCAGGCCAACCACTTGCTGAATATATTCAATTATATGTACTTGGCAAATATTTTCCTCACCTCAGATTCTTTGAATATGTGGGATTCTATTTCAACCATCCCCAGGGCCAGGTTAGATTGGGCTTAGCATTTTCCCTCAAGGCTTTTGACTGAATTTTTGAAGGCTTAGAATTCGTAGGTTAATGGGCCTTTGACACAGAAGCAGGAACTCTGCAGGTAAATGGATCTATGTATTGATCTACCTCTATTGTTATGTGAGTAGACATCCATCATGCCGTGGAATTCCCTTCACTTTCTTCCTGCCCATATTTCATCCCACACATGTCCTAAATTTACACCAATTTGTGTTTAAGATGATATTCTTTGTGTAGCATGTAAAAACACTATTTCCACCTTTTACATAATATTATTCAATAATTCAAAACGATTAAGTAAGTCAGGGCTTGTGGTTGTCATGATATGAAAATGCAGACAAAAGGAATTTACATTGAACTCTAAACACCACATTAAAAACAAAAATAGGATTTTACATACATAAAATATCTACACACATACACACACAGAGAGAGAGTCTTGCTATGGCTGAATAAATTCATAGTTATGCTTTGGGAGAATGTATGATAATGGCAATATACAGATTTACAGCTATCCCCATCATGTCAGCTAATGCCAGCTGACAAAGCTCCAAGGATCTGCTTAGGGCTTTTATTTCATACCAAGTATCTGTGGAAAGAAAAAAACCCTGCTCTACAGTGGATGCATAATGAGAATGATAGGAGTCTCTCCCTGAAACCTCCCCTCTTTTTTTTTCTTGCTGAGCTGGAAGAAAATGTTTATCAGTTTTGTCTGAGAAGGCAAATCAGAGCAAGTGCTTAATGCTGAGCAGCGGGAAACCGTGAGAGAGCTGGGGACAATTTCCTGCCCTGTGTGCCATGCTTTTCACTCCAGTTTAGCTGTTATTTTCTCTCCTGGTTTCCCCTATCTTTTTTTAAAAGGAAAACTTATCTTGCAGAAGCATATATACATTGTAAAAGAAGAGCACATGAATCCTGGATATACAAATAAAATTAAAGCCCTGTCCTAATCCAGATGACCTTTAAAAAGTAGCAGTTAAACACATTTTTATGTCCCCATCTGGACGTTAGTTACCTCTCTCCACAGATATGAATGATTTCTCCAATCACTCAGTGAAAAAATTGTTCAAAAAACACATAGGCGACAAAGCCCCTAAGAAATGAAAACAAAAATCCATTTCCATATTATGAAATGAATTTCATGGTGGATATTTTCCTGTGCAACTAAGATGACTTCTGATGCATAAACCCAAAAGAGAAGAGGAGTAGATTAGTATAAAATATAATGTCCAATATGTGCATTTACTGTATATGTCAGTAGTCAGGAAACTACTGACGGTTGATGTTACTGTACCAGTTTATGAAATGTCACAGACAAATAAAAATAAAAATGAAGTATTTGTATTTGTGTATAAAACAAGGAGAGAGATAATTCAATCTTACTTTCTTTAGGTTTGATAATAATACATTGTATCAACATAAATATGTAAAGTGTTTGGTTTTGTGACTTCTACTGATTATTTTAAATATTTGAGACTTTATATTTTTAAAAATATTTCTAAATATGTAAAAATAAACATGTCAAAACATTTAAAAATATTGATTTGGAAGTTAATAGTCCATTTTGTGGGGCAAAATTTATGCTGTGAAAATTAACATAGTTCCTTGCTTGATTTGTCTTCAGAAGGATCCCAAGGTTAATCCCAAATAAATTATTTTGTCAGATCAGAAAATTATTTAGAAAATTATTTGTAAAATGTCCCTCTTTATGGGCTTTAGTGAAAAATTATTAATTTTCATCAGAGCCAACTTGCTTGGATAAACATACTGTAGAAAAGCTACTGCATGTTGCAAGAAATGTTTAGGCATACTGGGGCATAGATTAGATTTTGATATTGAGCGTCATTAATATTTAACCTTTTGGTAGAACTCAAAAGTAAGAATAGATAGTAAAATATTTTATTTGAAAGTACAAGCAGGAATGGAGTAGTGATTTCAAATCAATTATTATGTGATAAATGGAGTGTCAAAGTGTACCCAAAGTGTGCTGCATTATGTATCAATTATGGCTTAGGAGTAGTCTTCAAAGGCAGTCTTGATACAGCACATTGTAGTAGTCTGTCCTGAAAGTAATGAGCCAGGTTGATATAGTAATTAAGGCATCAAACTAGAATCTATCAGATCATGTATTGTAGTCCCGCCTTGGGCACAAAGCTGACCAGGTAATCTTGGATCAACCACTTTCTCTCAGCCCTAGGAAAGAGGCAATGGCAAGCCACTTCTGAAAAAACCTTGCCAAGAAAACTACAGGGATTTGTCCAGGCAGTCTCCAAGAATCAGACACAATTGCTTGCACTTCATGCTTCAGGTAGAGTCAAACTGGGCAAAGCTTTCCCGCCCATGACCCCCACTTGCCTAATTGGGAAGACTGCCCCAAGTTGGTGCTGCCCTTTCCAGAGGAGTGCTGCCCTGTCTAAAGTAATAATCAGAAACAAACAATAGCCAAATGGTTTCTGAATAACCAGCAGTTCTTGTCCTGTAAGATGCTGTTTGCAGATACAGCACCAGTTTTAAGGAGTTTCTTTTTCAAACTATTTAATAGAAGACATCTGTAATTCAAGAATCGAGTGATAGAATTTATCTTTATTCCTCCTGTGAGACAGAATCCTCTTTAATTTTCCTGTTATCTGACTTTTTAATCTTCAGGTATAATGTACATATATTAACATATTAAATTACTAAATTAAATTAGATTGTTAGCAAAATTCAGATCAGCTCTCTCACTATTAGGGGTGGGCAACACAAGTAGTTCTTCCCTATTATAGCAACCCATGGAAATAATTTTTGCTTGGGAATGAAAGAACATGGTTTCTAAATCTCCCACTGGGCTTAAAATTCTCAGATAACTTTTTCAGATATTTCAAAAGGTTTGTCTGATTGCCCTGGCCTCATAGGTACTGCTGAATGGGCAGAGAGAAGCTGTGGTCAGCTTGCTGCCATTTGGAGGGCAAAGATCCCACAATGATATCTTAAGCTCTTTTCATTACACAGCTCAATTACAGCAAGACTCTACATGAGCTGTCTTTGAAGAATACCTGAAAACCAATGTTGGTGCAAAAATGCAGCAGCCTTGCTTGTGTTTACCACTAGGAATATATTAAAAAGTAGCTTAAGGACTTAAACTGGTTATCAGTCTTGATTCTCCATAATGGCTGAAACACTGAGAAACTGAGTCTCTTGTGACATCTTGTCTCAAATACATATCATTATTCTGTTAATACGGACACTTTATTGTTATATGCTAAGCACATTTTAGATTTTAGTACAAATATTTCAAATATTATTACCAAGAATTCAAGTAGTCCTCAACTTACAACAGTTCATTTAATGAACATCTGAAGTTACAATGACATTGAAAAGTGTGATTTATTATCATTTTTCACACTTACGATCCCAGCAATATTCCCAGGGTCACATGATCAAATTCAGCCACTTGACAACTGACTCATGTTTATGATGTATTGTGAGGTCCTGGGGGGTCACCTTTTGTGATCTTTTGACAAGCAAAGTCAATAGAGAAGCCAGATTCATTTAACCACCATACTACTAGCTTAGCAACTGCAGTGATTCACTTAATAATTTGGCAAGACAGGCTTTAAAATGCAGTAAACTCACTTAACAAATGTCTCGACAACAGAAATTTTGGGCTCCACTGTGGTTATAAGTCAAGGACTACCTGTATTTAAATCAGTCATCACTCTGGACATTTTAACTGTAATTTTTGTGGTTGTTTTATTGTGCTTATTAATAAAGGAAAACATTTGTAGCTCAAGGTTGAAATAAGGGATCCTCCTGAGCTTAGTTGTTTTCTTGCAAATGTTTGATTACCCAATGATGTTACCTAGTTTGAATAATGAAATGTCTGCAATAAAACAACCAAGCCCTGAGAGCAGCAATGGCCAGTTATTGTGCTTATTGTATAAGTAATCATATGTTTGAGTGATTTGGTGGCACATGAATCCAGCATAGACTGTCCATGATAACATAGCTTCTTCATCCACTATGGCCTTTAAGGGACTAAGTATAAGTGTGTATATGAATAAAAATATATTAGTATAGATGCTAAGAGTGGACACCAACTTGATGGAACATTACCAGTGTATACACACACACACACACACACACACACACACAAACACACACCAGGATGTCAGAGTAGTTAAGATGCTGAACTAGGAGTTGACAGACCCAAGTTCTAATTCTCTTTTAGGCAGTAAAGTTGTCTGGGTGACTTTAGCTCAATTATTATCTCTTATACTAGATTGAAAGCATGAAAAACATTTAAGCACTAACCTACAGCATGATAGATTACGATCCATAACTTTCAATGAAGCAATTTTTAGCCTGCAGTCAATTGGTTTGGGCTGATCACCTCTCTCACACACATTTACACTTATATTCACAGTGCAGTTTCTGATCACAAAAAGGCTGCCTACACTATATAGTCCAGGTCAAACAGAAAAGACTGTTGTTTTACTTTGGCAGACAAACCAATTAACCAAAGGCAA